TGCTATGCTTAAGTGTGTTTGTGGTGCGCGTTCGTACGTAGCAGCAGCGCGCCTCACGTGGATGCGTGCAGAATTATTAAAACATTCCCACACATTACCACAGCACATTGTCCGAAAGCAAAAACAACAAAAAGCGTAAACAAAACAACGCAAGCAAATAGCATAACAATAATAATAGCGGTCAAAACAGAGTGAAGAACGTGTATGCGCGGATTCTTGAACGCGCGCAAGTGTACCGGGCAACAAAAATTAAATAAAATAAAACCTACAACCACAGCAAATAATGAAGCGCAGTGAATGTGTGGCAGCAAGAAAGGTGCATAAAGTGCAACACTTAGCTTTTTAACTATAAGCGCGTTTGTGTTCGTGCTTGTGTGTGTCTAAGCGCTTCCAAGGAAAACTAATTTCAATTTTATCGCTTTTGTTTAACTAAATTTAGCGCAACATACGCCAAGTTAACTGCTCACACTCTACAACTATATGTAAGCATGCGTGTGTGTATGTGTATTTGCGAGTATTGCTTTATTTCAGTATTTTTATTGACGTCGACGCCTTCTGCGCGCACGCCTACACGCTTATGCCTTTGCGTATGTTTCAATGCACATTTAGTTGCCTCAATCGGTCACTCACGCCACTAAAGGCTGCTAGTTTCGGTCGCTCATCGCCAAATAGTTGCGCGCACTAACGAACCCCTCCTCTTCGTCTAACTTCAATTTTATTGCACATGCATACATTAACTTAATTATAACAATTAGTTGTTTGTGCTTTATACATAGTTGTTGTTGATGCCGAAATACCAAAAAAACAAAATATATATATATATATATAAAATCTTGCCTTGCGATTACAAGTGCTACTAACTTGGCTTAAAGAGCAAGTGACTACCTGCTGTAGCTTCGAAATGAAGCGAAAAAAATGCAAACACACACATACATTATTTTGCCAGCTGCTTAGCTGCCACAAAAACAACACCAACACCGTGTCAACATTATAAATAACAACAACAAGATTGGCAAGAAAATTAATAAAAGCCCGAAACAAAGCAATAAAACAACAATATATATATATATATATATATATATATACATGTATATATACATATAACGCAGTTGAACAGTTCCAGCCGGCTAGCAGTCGCCAGCAGCATGCAGCATTATTGTCATTCTGTCTTGACGGCGTTTTTGTTGTTGTGCTCATCAACTTGTTGTGTTATGTTGCAGCGCTGCTGTCAACTGCGTCACAATTACCGTTGAAAGACGCACGCAAACACACATAAGAAATATATGTACATATGTATACAAATATATAGCAACATTGATTAAGAGACCCTTAAGCTGCAATAAGCAACAGGTAGATGTTTATGTGTGTATGGGCTGCTACCATTTTATACTCCACACTTGCAACATATGAATACCAGTTTATTCACTTCTCAGCCATCTTTTTTCGTACATATTTTAGAGTTGTTGTTGTTATAATATATTGTCAATACATATCACATAGCACAATACACCTGCCGTCATTATAGCCGAGCGTCGGTTACTGCTGCTACTGCGGCTATCTTTAATTTTTGCGACGAATTAATGTGTATAAATGTAACTGCGACTCGTCGCTACACCTGTTTGTGTGTGTGTGTATCATTTATGCGATGAAGTAGAATGAAAATGTTGCGCAGAAAACAAGGTGCGCCTCATGCTGGCAGAGTAGTTGAAGTTAGTTATTGCTTTTATTATATTCGTACTTTGCCACAACCAACAGCTATTTCGCCTTCAACTCATATTTCATTAGTAGATATTATTTATTTGCTACATTGTGCGGGCTACTGCAGCTTTACTGTTGCAAAGTGTTGATTTGCCAACAGCAGACGTGCAAAAAACGGGAAAAATGAAGACAGCTGCTGCTAAGCTGCAAAGTAGTAGCGCAACATTTTGCAATGTGGTGGTAATTTAAAAAGTAGCTCTTATAAGTATTATTTTTGGGATATTGAGCAACAATGTAGCTGTGCAATATGTTACTGGCGAATATTCTTGTGAGCACACCTTACATTAAAATGTTAATAGTTGTTTGTTTGTAAAAAGAATTCGCAAACTTTTACTACAAAAATGCTTAGAAACATGCTGCGGAGCACATTTAGTAGGTATGTTGCTGAACAGTATTCATACAGCCTTTGAATGTTCAATTAAATACACATGTTGCTAGCATGGAAAGTGTGCTTAAACTTTCTTTGTATAACTTTTTGAATGCAAAAACATACGTGGCGGCGTGCAAAATAAACTAAAAACATTTTAGCAATGTGTTACAAAAACAAACAAAATTTTGTTGCACAATTAATTAGTTTTCAGTTTTTTTTAGAAAAAATCAATTTTTGTCAGCATTCAGACAATATGTTGCCACATCTACAGATTGTTGCTGCAAGCAAACAATGTAAAGTAGTATTGCTACTATTATATATGTACAATTTAATGATTTTTGAACAATTCCCCATTACAAAAACAGACAACAAAAGCAAACTTTTTCTCACAGTCTTTTATTCCAATGCAATTACCGTCAAACAGCCGCTAACCAGCTGACTACGCCTGCATACAAAATTACCTGGCGCGTCAAAATTGCAAGCTCAAGTGTGTATGAGTAACAACGCCTACCAAAACAGTAACACGGCGTATGTATGCCACCGAATCTGCATAACTCTTGCCTAAATGCGTGACGGAAAAATGAGTTGTGAAACGAACACACAGGCGGACAAATAAAAAACCGCTACTGTCACACGAAATTTCACTTAGCTGTGTGCTGAACTTGATTTATTTGAGAATGCGGTAAATATGTGCAAGCACAGACTTTCAAAAACAAAAACAAAAGCAATAGCAAATGAATAATAAAATTCATAAATACGAGTAGTTGTGTATATAAATATGTTTGGGTGTGTGTGTGTGTTGTTGTGTGACTGTTTGGAAAAATTCTGTAAACTCAGCACGGTGTATTCTTTCACCTGGGCTATGTCAAAAGCTAAAACGAAAAGTGAAATAAATACATTTAAACATTTACATGCATGTGTGCGTTAGTGCCCGACAATGTCGCTAGGAAGCAGAAAATCACACTATCAGACGTAGCGCAAAGTTGTTGTTGCTGCTGCCGTTGTCAGTTGCCATTGCCACACGCTGCAGGCATAGAAATGTGGGAACAAATTTGTGATACAGTTTAAAAAGATTTCGTTGACTTCCACGGCTGGAGTTGGCGAGTAAATTAGCGTTGGCGTGTGTGTGTGTGAGTGCATTTCGAACGACTAATGTGTGTATATGCATGCAGTAATGCAAAACCTCAAATGAATCTGAACCTCAACTTCAATAAAATTTTTATAAAAAATTTAAAACAATAAGTTAAAAAAAATTAAATAAAGTAAAATAAAAATAAAACTTAAATAATAAGATTTAAAAAAATATATAAAAATAAAATTAAAAAAATTAAATGAAAAAAAAAGTAATATAAAAAATCCAAAAAACATTAAAAAAAATAAAAAGTTACAGTTACGTTTAAGATATAAACGTGCGCTAGAAACTATGTGCATTGTGATGCATCAGCAGATTGCAGGTGCAGCACTTGAAAAAAAAATCGCCAAAAAATCCTTGCATGTTGGTGGCAGGTAGACAAAAAGTAATTTTTTCGCCCTTTGCGCCACTACAGTTGAGGGGATTTGCGGCAACATTTTTGTGGCATATTGGGCAATGAATTTGAGGGCGAAAATATGTAGAAAAGGCAATAAAAGCTAATAAATGCAAATGAAACGGCATTTTATTTATGGTTGCGGCAGGCAGAATACGCCCTTTTAGTGTATAAAATAAATAAAAAAAACAACAGCAAACACACCGAAAAGTAATAGCAATGCGCCACAACTATGTGGCAGACAAGACAACAAAGGGCGGCCATAAACTCACAGGCACAAAGTATGCAGCAAGCAAATATATATATATATGTATATATGTGTGTGTGTGTGTATTTGTGCAACTAATAAGCAGAATACACGAGCTGGGCGCATATGGAATGCAAAATAAAACCGATTAAATAACTACAAAAGGTGTGCCAGTCAGCAGCGCAGCGATGATGTTTCAACTGCTGACTGTCAGCCAAAACTAATGCCGCCAGCTTGGGAGTGTTTTGGCTGGCTAGCTGACAGACTGCCTGATGATATGATGATATGTACGTGCATGGCGCATTATAATAATATAAACAAACACAAAAATGATGTTGTTGCATGAAATTTGAAAACTAAAATGCAGCAAAAGAGCGCGCGCAAACAACAACCATGAAACAAATGTAGTACTCGCGTTGACACCTCTATGGCTGGTGGATGCGACAATGCGAATAACTACAAAAAAAAAAAAAAAAACGGCACTGAAGGAAATAGCTTTGAGTGTCGCGCCCGTACGCGTATAAGAAGCGCTTGCAGCGCACAGTAGCCGAACTAAGCGCGCTGTGATGCGCCAACACGCAGCCACATAGTGAACGTGCAAAACCAATTTTAATTAGCTGCAAACAAATGTGCGCACTGACTGACGGACTGCTAGTTGGCGGTCGAGTGAGTGACTGGAGTGCTATGAATAGCGTCAGTTGCCGCGCTGATTTGTTGGTGAGGCGACAAGCGCGCCGTGCAAATGCTGAGCTCATGAATGAACGGCGCGGCGAACAAAGCGTTCTGGCAATAAAACAGAGAAGAGCGCTCGAAAACAAATTTAATAGGAAAAAAGTAAAATAACATAAAAAAAAAATATATAAAACTAGCAACTATTTGGAGTATAGTAAGAAAATTCACCGAAACGCGGTTTGCTGCTATTTAATGGGTGGGTGGTGGTTGTAGCGAGCGTGTGCAGGCGTATATTATTTAAATAGTTTCGTGTGGTTATTAAGAAGTTAATAGCATTTGCTTTGTTTATGCAATACCAACACTTATTTCCATGTGTTTGTGTGCATGTGTGTGAATATAGACAGTAGTTAGTCAGATAGATACTTACATGCATTGATTGGGCTTGTCGCAATGGCCATGCTCGCAGCCTTTCGTGCACTCGGCTGCAATGAGAAGATGAAAATAGTTATGAGTCATTTATTGCACATTTCATTAATCATGCTATGATATAATCTTATAAATATAAAAGTTAAACACTGAAATACTTTATGTTCTATTAAATAATAAAAAAAAAGTTGTTTTGAAAAAATTAAGAAATTTAAATATTTTGCAATTAAAATTTAAATAAATTCCAATAAAGATAAATTTTAAATTAAATTTTGGTAAACTTATCATAATGTTCATTTAAAATAAAAGTAAAACTATATATTGCATAGAAAATTTTATAAGAAACATTGTTAAAAACTAAAACAAAAGAATTAATTACATATATAATAATTATTGTAATAAAAAAAGTGTGATATATGTGTATACATATTTATTTTTGTTTTCTTTTATAGTTTTTTAAAATTTTTATAATTATTTTTAATTCAATTTTCACTTCACTTTTCATATTTTTTGCAACTGACATGTACACAATAAAAAATTAATCAAAACGAAAAAAATTAATTATATAAAAAACTATTGTTATTAAAAATTGTGATAAAATTATCAAAATAACGTTCAAATTTTACATTAAATAAAAATGAAAATATATATTGTAATAAAACTTTAACATTAAAATTATAAAAAATTAAAAAATATTGTATGTATTATATAAAAAACCACGTTTTTTATTTCTTTTGTAATGTTTAATTTTTATCATAATTTTTAAAATTTGTTTCCAATTGCTTTGTTAAAATTTAAAAAATTATGCTTTTCATGTTTTTAATATCTGGCAAATATTTTGACTATGAAGAAGCGCACATAGCGGTGCGGTGAATTACATTCACCAAACAGAATTTCACTACATGCATACATGCATCTTTCATTTTTAATATTTATTAACTTTTTCCACCGTCAACACCATCAACTTCGTTTTATTTGCACACCACAGTTTTATGCTTTTTTTGTTAAAAAATAAAATTGGTTGCAGACACAACAAAACCTGAAATCAAAGCGATGATGCATATTTTAAATAAAATTTTTTTTCTTTCTCTCAACTCCACAGCAAGAGAGACACCCCAACAAAGCACAGTGCCACGCACATAAAAATATTACGACAAAAGTTTCAGCGGCGCTAGTGCGCAGTTTGGAAAATAGAAAGTTGAATGTCAAAGTAAAGTTGTGGTGAAGGCACTTAACAACAACACCAGCAACAATAATGATAAAATGCGAAGGTGTAGGTCGTCGATGCGCCATTTGATGGGATATTGCAATTGTTGCGTTGCTTTTGTAGCCAACACAAGGTATGCATGCGCTGCTAGTAAGAGCTCTGCCCCTCGCTGCCGTCACTGTGGTTCGCCATAACGCTGCGCTGCGCGGGTGTGAATCGCAGCAAATGAGATAAGTAATAAAAAGCGCACAACTAACCATTAATTTTCTCTAGCGCTCGTACTTTGCCGCTATGATTGCAGGCGGTCTGACAACTTTTTCGTTTTAATTGTATGCGCGCGCGCGCGCTCGTACACAACAACAATTATTGGGATGCATTCGCAATTGGCGAGATACATCATCAATACAAGTTGTTTGCGATGCTGTATCGCGGATGTGCAATTGCAGGTGTCTGATTTTTATTGGTATTTTATGTAGCGGTTTTTTTCACTCGTTTCTTAACAACTTGTAGATATGTATGCAAATGTAAGGTGCTTGTTGCCTTTCTCACATTGGCTTGTGGCTTATGAGCGTTTACTGCGATTTCTTGTGGTGGAAGGCACTTTCGCATCTAAGCGTTAATTTTACGTTTGCGTTTTTATTTAATTGAATGTATGTACCTTAAAGTAATTTTTTTTTCGTTGAGATTCTTTACATTTAGTACTAGTAGCTATTTTTATAACAAGAAATAGCTATATTTATATAAATGCACCTGATATTTGCTATTATTAAAAGAAAAATCGGAATTTGCAGTTGCAGTTACTATTGTATCTTATAGATACTCTTCAATTTTAATGCTAAACGGTTGCTTTTCGAAAGTAAACCTGCTTTACGGTAAAAATTATTGCAAAAACATGCAATTTACAGGCGCAGATACTTTTGTATCTAAAAGATACATTTTAAATTTGATGCTAATTTAGCTTTATTTATAACAGCAAAAATATACAAGTTTTAGTCGTAGATACTTTTTAAATTAGAGGCTAATTTAAAGTTCGTTTACAATGAATTACTATTGAGTTTGCTTTTCAAACAGATACGTGCCAATAAATAAGATCATTGCATTTACAGTTAATTAGACTGATATGAAGAAATTAATTTTGCTATGATTAGCATATTTGTATTTATTTTCATAATTCAATTTAACAAGCTTTCAAACTAAATCTATGTACATATGTATTATTCACCACACCACACATAGTTAGACACTCTCACAGCGTTCGTACGTATCAAAGAATTTCGTACTTATCGCAGAGCAACTTCCTCAACAAACTTCGACAAAATAAAATCAATGACGTGCCAAAGCCAGAAGGTAGTTAGTAGCTGAAAACCCTATACAACAACAATCGACGGCCATGCCGATCATTGTTGTGGCAAAAAGGAAACACAGAAAATGAAATAATCTCATGGTCAAAATACAAAGCGATTCCCAAGCCTTTGAGTCAGACAAAACAAGCACTTAGTCAGCAAGCCGGCCGGTCGGTTCCACGAGGCATTTAGCTAAAAGAGCAACCAACTCCATGTACATGTATATGTATGAGCATACAAAGTATTGTACAATTTTAATTTTTATATGTGTCTGCCTATGTTGCAAGCAACACCAACAACAACAGCGGCAGCGGCAGCAGCAGAGCAGCAACAGAAATATGTGGCAAACGTGTTTTTGCTCGTAGTCGAGCAGTAAAAGGGCAAACAGCGGTGGCGGCAAGCATTAAGGGGATAGCAACCAAGATGGGAGTTGCCATTATTCTGTCTGTGTGTTTATGTGTTGCGGTGCAAACAGAAAAAATAAAAACGCGAAAAGATGCTGCCAGAAATAAATGTTGCCACACAGACGTTTTGCCCACTTTAACGCCGCGCAGAAGGGTTGCTTTAGCGCAAATCGTGAATTACCTACGCGCATTGCGATGGACTTTGAAAATTCCAGAGCGCTGAGCGCAGCAGAAAATCCACAATTCATTCAAAAGCACACACGACGCGAGTGAACTAATCGAGGAATCAAAGTGAAAAAAGAATTAAAAAGAAAATAAAATCGACCAACAAAAACAGTGACAACAAGGATCGCGGAATTTGGCTATAGCTTTTGCAATGGCGCAAGTAAGCCGCCGCGTTGTTGTTGGGCGAATTCTCGCAGAATTTTCTTATGCGCTGCATTGATGCTTTGGCTGCTTTTAGTTGCAACAAATACATACAAATAATAGCGAAAACAATCACATTGATGTAAGTCGATGCTAACTAAGCGGCAGATAGACGGACGTCTACCCTTCGATTAGCCGCCACTGCCACTAGCTGACTTTTTATACATACTAAAGTTGGGTCGCCTAGCTTCGGGTGCGAAAAAGTAAAATTGCTAGAAAATCGCAAAAACGTGCGCGTATCTTTGCTTTTTCCTTTGCTCTGCCTGTATGTGTGTTGTGTGAGGGGCAGCGCTAGTCAGACCACCATATGTTGCTAGAACCAACGCTTGCTATTGTCGAGCTCGCTTAGTCTCCTGCCTGCCTGATTTTCCGCTGAAGTGTGCATTCGCCTTTTAATTTTCTTCGCCATCATGCCAGTGACTTACACAGCAGCGCCTGGCCTTAGCTTACCTTGGCTGCGTATGCTCGGGGCATACGCTTAAAGGCAATAATGCATAATATTGTGGAGCAATTGGCATTCTAAAAGACTTATGCGGCTGGAAACCGAAACAGTTGGGCAGTTACATAAATAGTCGCGTTGTATGACAGAGCATTGCTGGCATCGCGCTCTATTAGGCGGCGACGTTGCAGCAGTTGGGAGTTACGTGTCGTGCAAGGACTACTGGCAAATAGAATTTACTACATCTGAAAGTGAATTTATGTATGGCTAAGTATGCGCGCACGGCTGTAGCATGGCATTCATGCCACAGGCTATGCACAGGCAGCAGCCAGGCGTGAGTGAATAAGCGCGGCAGCGGCAGGGAATCCCAGTTGGTGTTACAAGTGGGCGCATGTGCGTCTGTATGTATGACGCGCACAAGTTCACACGCCCGCAAGGATTTGCGCGCATACAGTAGATGTTGCACATGCATGATTGCTAATGTGGCAAATGCAATAACTGAGACTATTACAAAATTGATTCAGTGCGATTTTTCCCAACGTAAGCACTTTCACTGTGTGTACGCGATCAAAGTATGCATACATGTAAACATTGTTGTAGATATTTGTAGTATTTATAGCTTAAAATAGTAATGGGTTGCCAGCTGCTGTGTAAGGATAGCGATCTCTTGGATAAACTAGATGGTAAGATGGTGGGAAAATATGGTTCTGATAAACAATTACATATTGAATGCATTAAGCATAGCGAATGAAAGTTGTGCAGGTAAAGGTTTTGTAAGTTTTCTTAAGCGTAAATTGGTGCAATAGAAACCACATGCTAATTGCTTGCACTAAATTTAAACCTTTTGACATTCGATGAATAAAAGCTTTGCTATTGTGAATTAAGACAGTTTTTAAATCCTTAAAACATCTATATTAACCTTTTAGAGAAAAAGCTTTCACAAAAAAGTAAAGAGCTTCCATAAAATAGTAAAAAGCTTTCACAAAAGAGTAAAGAGCTTTCACCTATTATTAAAAAAGCTTTCACACATCTCTAAAAACCTAATATTAAATCTTTCTTAAACCACGAAATCAGCGAAACCAGCATTTTAGCGAAAACAACAGTGTAACAGTGAAAGCTTGAACACCCCAATTGCGCGAAAGTGCTTAAAAAATTTACAAATTTTTGTTTTTTGCAAATATAATTTCATTTATTTTATATTTAAATCATTTTAAATAGTAATTAATTAATACAAAGTTTGCCCATAAATGTTTTACTATGTACATATATACTGAGATATGCGCGAAAATTTCGCAACAATAAACAGCTGTTGAAATGTAGAACAGACCATTCACTTAACTTAAGCACAGTGAACAATTTTTGGGTGAAGTACAATCGTTAAAAAATAATATGTAAAAATAACAACACGCATGTGCACAAGCAACAGCGCCAAATTCACTGAAAGCGATGGACTATGAAAATAAAATTAGAAATAAAAAGTATTTGGGCACGTGAAGCTCGCTAAGCAGAGCCATATTTATTTTTTTAATTAAAATTTTTTGTTTATTTTTCTATTATTTTCTGAAAGTCAAACACCTTAAGTAGTTTTTCGAGTAGTAATTAACATATCAAACAATTTGAGGTTGCTGCAAGAATATAAGTACGAGAAAAGTAAATGAGTTTGTGAAAAAAATTGTACACAAATCACCGATCAGGCGCACTGATCGATGGCGGTGCGCTTGCTTAAAGTTTGTCATTTTCGTAAAAAAACCACTTTGAAAAATATGTGTGGCGAAACGAATTTTTTCAACGCGTTTATTATAGACTTTTGTTTTGTTTTTGTTGTCATTATTGAAAATCACTTGCTTGTCAAATCAAATGCGATGATTTAACAAAAGAGAAAAAAATAAATAGTGTAAAGGGTGAATGGTGTAATTTTGTATAATAAAAAAATATTGAACACACAAGAGAGTAAATATCAATTTGAATTACTGGCTGCTCTTTTGTAGCTACATACAGTGGACCTAAGCAAACATTCAAATTAAAGTGTAATTATTGTCTCAACCACGATCGGCGTCCGATCGCGTTGAAGCGCTTGCAACGAAATGCGACGATGACTAGAAGCTCGCTGTCACTCTGTGTAGTGTAGTACCTGCTATTGACATTGATTTCTATAATTTTTGCTGTTGTAATACAATAAACAATTGGCCGAGCTACAAGGAAGTGACGGCAAAATACACGATCACTGCTTGATCATGGTTTTTTATGTATGCATGTATGTGTTATTATATGTAAATTACAAAATCAATGAGTGTAGAAAATTTCATTTGTCATCGTTCCCATTTTAGCTTATAGTTTTGTGCTATTGTTTTTTCAATGGCGGTGCGATCAGGAGTTGAAAATATCATTTGGATGAGGTATTAGACGAAGGTATGGGGCGGAAACGAGTTAAGAAAGCGAATGAACGAAGAAGTTCAAGGAGGAAGGGAAGGGACTACTGGTACAAGTTATCAATGTGTTGAAGATATGTATGTAGATTGAGGTAGTGAAGATCAATAAAAGAAAAGCGCGATGAAATGCTGCTGTTAATTTTCTAAAGAAAACTGTGCTTAGATACTTCCATTAGTAGTTGTTAGCTGAGAGAACGTGTGAAAGGCTTAAAAAAAAAGTAGAAGAGACAAAAAAAAAAGGCAAATTATAGCCCAACATGCGATCCTCTAATTCCTACTATGAAAATTAACTAACAAAAACATTTTATTTTCAAATAAATCAAAATATGTTTAGAAATTGTCGCAAATATGTCAACGCATGAGTTAAAACCTCGTGTGGCAAACGAAAAACTCTTTGCTGCCGTACAATAATGCGCTGCAGCTTCAGCTAAGCCGGCAAGGCAACATCGTTCAAAGCCTTTTTGTACGGGTTTCGGTCGTCGTAAAACATTTTTGTCTTCACCACAACTTTTTGGGGAGAGGTTTTTGGATTGTTAGGTTCTTGCCACATATAAAAAGGCAGCACAGAGAATGTTGAATGCTAGCGATTAAGACAAGATACACATCACGCTATGCTATGCTGAAGAGCCCAACAGTGAGTGCTACTGGAGCGGGAGGAGCACGCACAGGAAGACGGCATATTGTAGGCAGGCAAAACGAGAGCCTAAGAAAAATCTTCCCACGCTACAGTTTGGGCACTCAACTTGTGCGATGGTGAGAGTGAGGGAGGTGCTGGCAGTGCAGGAAAGAAATAAGCATTCGACCTCATTGTTGTTGTTCTTGTTGGTATGCTGGTGGTAGTATCGGCGCATATGGAGCATTAAGTAGCGGCTACCAGAGCCTGGCAGCAAGGCAAGCAGGCACTTCAGTTATTTCGGCGTCCCTTTTTGGTTGCTACTTCGGCGGCAACAGCCGCAGCAGCTTCTTGCCTGAACTTGCTTGTGCAAGACAAACAGTGTGTCGTTGCTGTTATTGTTGTTGCAGCCAATACCTGTCGTACTACAACAACAATTGCTTTGCGTGCGCTCCACGAAGGGATGTGCGCTGTGCGGCAGGCCAACACGCAAGTAAGAGAAGCCACTAGCGGCAGTGACTCAGGCTCCATACGCTTATGTGTGTGTGCGTGTTGGGTACTTTTTATTAGTATTTTATTACTTATTGTTTTTTGTATGTGTGCGGCTTAAAATTTAAAGACCCTTCAGCTGCGGCACTCACTTCTGCTGCCACTTGTGTGCTGCTCTTCTTCTTCTTTCATTCCGTTTTGTATGGAATGTTTTCATGTTTATGCGCTCAACGCGAGCGGATGTTGATTACACCTTGAATTTTGTGGTAAATATACCATTTTTTCGGTGACTACAATTGTTGTGCGCTTCCTTTTTTCGGTGAACGCTGCCAGTTTGCTATCCTTCGGTCAGAGATATTTATTTCCAGCAAACGTGCAAACGAAGAGTAGTTGTGAAAACAAACAACAAAACAAAATCGGAAGCGTTGCGATTGCCAAAAAAATACAGCTGCCACATGGTTGCACCGGTTTTTCAGCCACATATACTTTATTATTTGCTGCCGCTGCAGCCGACTTAATCGAGTAAATGGCCTTAAATTGTGGTGCTTGCGTGGTGTTCGAGTTCTGCTGGGTATAATTTGCCAAAAGAAAGTAATGAGCCAATAAAATACACAAAAAATGTTGCAGGATCAGCAGAGATGTGTTGCTGAATGCGTTTATGAAATATGTGCTTGGTTGTTAGGGCTAAAAGTGCGTAGCGTAGGTAATGTGGCATGCTTGCAGAGGTCAAAGTATGCGGGGGTTAGTGCGAAAGGGCACTAAGTAGTGGTGGTGGTAGCGACTGCAACAACCTTAGTAGTAAGTGGGGAGACAAGTGTTTTAATTAAAAAAAAGGAAGCGAGCGATTTGTCGAATCAATGAATGAGTGGAGCATATATGCATGCTGCTGCGCCATGAGCATATAATTATTTTTAAATAATTATTGATATCTATGATTATTTATACTGTCTTTAATCTATAATTTTTTTTTAAATTTTTTAATTTTATTTATTAATTATTATTTTTTTATGTGTATTTTAATTAAATTATTTTTTAAATTAATTTTATAAAAAAAAATTTTTTAATTAATTTTAGTTTATTTTTTTTAATATTTTTTTTTAGCATATATTTTTTAATAATCGTATTTTTCTTCCTCACTCACCTTTATCACAATAATCACCCTGCCAGCCAGTCAAGCAGATGATTTCACCGCTTTCCGAACAAGTGTAATGTCCAAAGGGATCATCACGTGGCCGGCACAAATTAGCACAGCCCGCTCCGTAATAATGCGCATCGCAGGTAACGCGAAAATCGTATTCCAACCAGGTGTATTGAGCTTCGCTTTTATTCGTTTTCCACTCGGGTGATACTTCGAGTACTTGTTGCAACGATAAGCGTTGGATTAGAAGATCTGAAAGCAAGGGAATTATGTTACTTAATAAAATGGAAAAACAAATATTATAAAATATAACTCCAAAAAAAAAAATTTTTGCAAAAAATATACTCGAAAAACCTAAATAAGATAAACAAAAATGACATAAAATACATCAAAATTAAAAATAAAAATAAAAAAATGGGCAAAACACATTCAAAAGAAATTCTCAGGTCTCAGCACATTTTTGTTTTAATTTTTTTTTGCTCGATGTTGATAAGTGCACTACACCGTGTTGCTGCAGCGGTACTTATCATTGTCTAAATGCACACTTGCGCATTCTTTTTACTCGCCTGTTGGTTGGTTAGGCTATTAAATGAAGATTAATTATTGTGCATTAGTTAAAATGAGAGGCCGAACCGCCGAATGCCAACGAGCAACAGAATGCAGCAGCGAATATGAGATTCAAGTACGTATGTAGATATTGTATGGGCGATGTGGCATGCAGATTGTCATGTTTATGTTGCAGGTTGCACAGGTAGATACTTAAAAAATACACAAGGTTTTATGTTTAGTGTAAGAAGAAAGATATGAAGTTGTTTGCCGCGGCTTTAAATTATAGATGCTTATCTTAATGTTTTAAGCGCTGCAAGTGGCTTGTTACACTTTCCTTATGTGTGCTGTTATTACTGATTTGTTAATTTTGTATTTTACTCGACACTATAATTAGCGCGTTTTCTAAGGAAAACAGGGCTGTGAGATTTTTGTATCTCCTAGGTGTCAGACTATACTGTACAAACTGAAAATAAAGTGTTTGCAACATGTTGCTGAATAGTAAATTAAATATATTTTCGGTTTATATATTATATATATAAATAAGCTTAAAACTAAAGAAAATTTGAAGAAAAATTATTTAAAATTTTAAAACAAGTTGCACACAACAAATGTTGTGCAACATGTTGCAATTTGAATTTAATTTTTTATCACTACATAAAACTACATTTCTGATCTGTTAATTATGATCTAACATGATCACAACATTTGTTGTGCAACATGTTGCAATTTTAATTTAATTTTTTATCACTACATAAAACTATTTTTTTTGGTTCAAATATCGCTAAAGATTTTTAGTTTTACACATAAAACGAAAACAATCGACTCTGTTTTTGATTTTACCATTTGCTGATTACCAACGAGCGAGCGTTACTTCATGCGTCTAAACGCAACGTTAAACACTATATAGCCGTTGTTTTGCTTGCCCCGCTGCAAATTACCTGCTAAAGACCGGTCTGGTGCGATGTTGCTAGCAACATTTGGTGAGGTGAGGTACAAAATTCATATAAAACTGCACACAAGCTGCTCAAAATGTGTTCATACATGTATATTTCACAAACAAATGCATACCACTGTGGTGTATTTGCAGTAAATTGCAGGTGCATGAATGGTAAGTTGCAAGTGGTGTGGCAAAAAGACAAAATAAATACCACGAAATAATGACAAGCGCAAGAACTGCAAGCAAAACAACATAACTACCGAAAAGCAACAATAATTTTACAGCCAACATCAAATTACAACAGCAAATGCAGCAATTGCGACAACGATGCTTAAAGTTGAAAGCAGCATAAATCTCCCGCATGGCTAGCAACAACGTGGCACACACCAATATACACAGTATAATAGCATGTATATCTGTAAGCTGGCAGTCAACGAAACCGCATTATTATACAAGCGTCCAATGCATGCGGCTGGTATTGCACCGTGCAAACGTAGGGGGACCAAAGGTGATTGTGCGCAAAACGAAGAATGCGAGAATACCGCAATGGCCGTAAGAACCCAGGGATACATAGTAAAAGTTGCATTAAAAAAAATAAAACAGTATACGAAAGAAAATAATTTTTAGCACAAAGTCATGGGGTGCTGGCGTCCGTTTGTTGCGAGAGCGCGTATCATCAAAAAAAAAAGCCAAGCAGCGGCAACAGCAGCAACATAATCGTCATGGCACAGCGGTCAGCAATAACAATAAACAACAATTTCTCAGGAATGGATTTTCGAGGTTAACATTATTCTGCGCGCGTCGCCTTGCAAGAACTAAAGACTTAAGCAACGAACCGCACCAGCATTACCGCGCGTATTTATTGTAGCCTAACTGACAGGCGCTGATATCTAGGAAATGGTTGCTGGACCGGGCAATGTACTGCACTGTAGCAAAGGCAAATTATTTTCGTGCTTACACCCCTTCTATATATCTATATACATATATATATGTATATATATTTATATGAATGTTCGTACGTATGTGTATATGATTTTCGTTGTTGCCATTCGTGCTCTTCTTACTTTCCGCTGGCATTTTATGGCATTCGCAAGTAGCTGACAAAAGCAAAAGTGTTTGTCGATGGCTTAGACCTTCCTTGCTGCCGTGGCTGCTGCTGTCGCATTTAATTTTCACTACTCTAAAACGAGATCTGCTTGAACTGATAGCGGAAACGCGGCCGTGTAATTGCCGGGCAGCCAGTAGTACGTGTTTATGCCGCTGCTAGTGCCAATAAAGTGGTTGGCGTGTTAAGGCAGGAGATGAAAGAGGTGAGTAGCAGGCAATGAGATGGCCGGCACAAGTGTTTAGAAGTTAAGAATGTTTGTGAAGGCGTTAGAGGTGGCAAGTGAAAGCGGTTTTTGGTGTAAAATAGTTTTCGTTTTCTAATAAGATAAATAAAGGCTCATATATGTTAAGTTAACTCATAAAATTTCACAAAAATACTCATTTTAAGCAGAAAAAAAAATTAGTTCGAAAAAATTGTAAAAACCTGTTCGAAGATCGCTTTTTTATGAAGATCAGTGACCTACCGATCACTGAAATGTTAAAGTAACTAACTACGTGATCCCTTGTTTTTTTATTACATAATGATTAGACCTCTATTTATCGTCAAATTGCAAAAAACCAAAATGTTAATTTTTATCAGATTGAGGATCATTTTCTGCAAGATCATAATTCAGCAATTCTTACGAAACTCATTACACACAGTTTGGCTGATATTTATCTTGAAATAACAAAATACAAATTTTTTAACTATAGGAGTTGAGGATCGCTTCTTTTAGATCATAATTAACGATCACTAAGGATTATTCAAACAATATTGGTTAATAAATTACTTTTTTAAATAAATGTTAAATGCAATACATTTCAAAGATGCAAACAAATATGAGAAAAAGCAACTTATGCTATCTGAGGATTATCGCTCGTAAGCAGTCAAACTTTTGAAAGTGCCGTAATTTTCTACACCACTGCATTTGCCCCAAATTGGCTTATCACATACACCTGCTTGCCCACCTTCCTGCAACAAACGCTACATATTAGCACAATAAATTTCTAGCTTCAACCTACAAAAGCAAAATTTCGCTCTTATCGCACGTCTAATGACAGTGTCAGGCGTGGCGTGCGCATGCGCAAATTCCCAGCGTGCAACTTACACGGAATTGCCGGCGAGCTGTCACAGCTTTTATGCGTTAAAAAGTTGTAATAAAAACTGGCCAAAAAAAAAAAAACATATGTTTTAAGTGCGACAGCTAGCAACAACTAGTTTTCATAAGCTTATCGCTTATAAATTGCATGACGTAGAAAATTTTTCGTGCCACACGTAAAAGTAGGAAATCAAATTAGCAAACGCGCAAATATTAACAACTACACGCAGGAGACGACGTTTAGTCGCTCTGTTTTTTGTTGTTGTTTGCTTTGCTGTTATAAATTATCTCGCATTTCTCATTTTTTATTATGAGCATTTCATATGCGTAAGTTTGCCTGCCGCATTTTTGTGGGATAACACCACAGCAAATGAATGACAACAAGGCGCGCAGTTAGCTGGCGCATGTGGTGTGCTTGTGCTAAAATTAGTAGAAAAAAAATGTGCGTCTAATAACCTGTCATACTACAAATCCAACTGTGCGCATGCGCGGCGGCTTGCCGTGCTACACTATGCGTATGTGTGCAGAAATTATAATCAACCACGGGAGAGGCGAAAAAATGCATGCGCGCAGCAAGTTGACGACTTAGCTAGTGCGCAGACGGAGCGAAGATATAACAACAACAAACAAAAGTATCAAAAATACGCAGCTAATGGCGAACGCAAATGTGCAAAGCTTTTAGCTGATTGCCAGCGCAGAGGCAGCAACAAACAGGCAGCCGAAGCAGTAGACGTATAGACAGACAAAAAGGCATATGAAGTTGCCACGCAAAAATTCCGAAAATCCATTGGAATGCCAGCATTGTGAGTGCTTCTTGTATGTATGCAAGCGCGCTGTGCCACATGCCACACTGTCGGCGCAGACATGCTGTGACACACACAAATCTCTACAAATAAGTGTTTGTATGGCTTTGAAGTAAGCTTGCATGCCAGCCTCTTAGCCAGCTGCTGCACGTTGGTGGTGACTTGTCGACCCAGCACATGCGCTTAGCGGTTTTTTCTAATATTCAAGCATATTTTACTATTTTTACACAGAAAGTGTACAAAAAAACTTATTGAAACAGAGTTGCAGTAGAACAGGTGCCATGCTCTTGCGTCTCTTTTGCCATTTTCAGAATTTTTTGTTTTTTACAAATTTTGATTTTGATTTTGATTTTTTCGAATTCGAATTTTTTTACGCTGGCAACATTAGTTTGTTAATTAATTAATTTAATTTGTGAGCATTGCAAAATTTGACAGGAATTTTTGTATCTCTTTTTATATATTTTAACTTGCCAACCGGTTGTTTGCTGTATGCCACATGTTGCAAAAAGTATCAAATTTATCAAATTCACTAGTTCTCAATAGAAAATGACATTTTTCGCATATTTACCGCAATCTAGTTAGAATTGACTCGACTGTCAGCGCGTTTGTGGTCAAACTAGCTGCCACGAGAACGCTATTAGGTTGCACTAGCCGCGTATTAGCACAATTAGTTGGCTGGAAGTTCGGCGCAGAACTGGTAAAGTGCCACAAAACTTGCTGCCTGGCTGAGCGCTTGTCACCGGGCGAGTAGAGTTGTGTGACAGTCGTGTTGCAAAC